CAATTGTATGTGTACTATCATTTTTAACTATAATTAATCAATTATCAAAAAAACAAATAAATTATTTTAATACAAATATTTTTAAAAAAATATTTTACATTTATTTTCAAGAAATTGGTGCAATATACAAGATTTGCCCGTCGATGCACTACCAATAATTAGAAATTTAAATAAATAGTCTAAATAAAAACAAAAGTTCTAAATTGTTTGCATTTACTAATCATTTACCAAAAGATTCAGATGATTGTGTCATGTTTTGCTCTTTATGTCAAACGAAAGGATAGAATTACAGTAATTGCGCACGACGTTTGAAAAAAAATAAAATACAACTTGTCATATTCACACATCTCTCATATCATATGACGTCCTTTTTTCTTATCGGTTGAAAAATACAACCAAATATAAATTACTAGAGACTTATAGCGACATTCTTCTCATGCTCTGAGTTTTTTTTAGTGTACTGCAATGAGGATTGTCAAGGAGAACTAAAAACAAAACATTTTAGCAATGAATGTCTATATTAATTTATAATTTATTTGACTTATTGAAATATCCGAGAAAAAAAAAGAATTAAATTATTCGAAAATTTTTCCGTGTTTCTTTTGTAAGATGTCGACATTAATGATGGAAAGATGTTCAGTATGTTCGGCACCATTGACAAGTTCTCAAAAATGGAATCGAACAAAACCAATTTCACTTCGATCGACCGGTGGAAAACAAAGTACTCTTGGGTAAGCTTTCAAGTAAAGAAAAAAAAACAAACAATTAAATATTTTATGTTCTTTCATTTTGTCTGATTGTATATTGTGGAGAAATGTAGACATATTGTTCTAATGATTGAGGATGATAGGATGTATAATTATTTGGAAAATATTTTGTTTGATATGATGTTTTATTTAGAGTTCTATATGGAGAACAATATGTTGTTGCTTGTCGTGTGAGAGATGTTATTGTTGGACGTACTGTTGATTCTTTACGTAATATTGTTTTATCATTTAGACTAAGTTCATTCTTTTCCATAGTTATATAAGCAGCTATAAATTCAGCAAAATCTAAATAATTATTTCCATCTTTATCAAATAATGTAAATGTTTGTCGTGTTAATTTTTCAAGTTGTATTGATGTACGTTGAATAGGTACAGTTTCAAGTAATGCTTTATATCGTTCATAAGATAACTGACCATTATGTGAAAGAATTAAAAATTCTCGATGTAATTCATTTATTTTTGATTCTGATAAACCAGTTAATGTTGATAATTTTCGATAATCAAAATCACTTAAATGTGGATCTGTATCCATATGTGAATTAATTGTTGTTATTGTATTTGGTGATGTAAATGAACTATTATTTAAAGTTGAATTATTTGATGATGAAACAGAATTATGATAATGTCGAGAAGATAATGCTCGATGTGTTATACTACGCATTGTTGTACGAAAACGATTAACACATCGATATTTTGTATTATCAACTGATTTTGTTGTTGATGGTGCTCGATAACGTTTATGATGACTATGAGTTGTTTGTATTGTACCCATTTTATGTAAAAGAGTGAACGTTTGATTGAAAAGAACCAAACAAGTACAACTGATCAGTATTGAGATCGATGTGAAAGAAAAGATAAGAAAGAAAACTGGCCAAGCGTGACCCTATGTTGAATGTGTTCGCACTTGTATTGATAGTGTGTCTGTTCGATTTGACAATACATGAATGATTTCATTTTAGTGAACATATATGAAGAAGAAGACGAAGACTCTTTATGTAAACTGTCCGTCCTCGTACATTATAAATAAAATAAAAAAAATGAACGAAAGGCAAAGTATGCAATTAAATATTTCAAGGATTGATTGTTTGTCCATTGATCAAAGTTATATCTATACAAGGTGAACCATGGTCATACAAAGATAATTTATTAAAATAATCAATATATCATTGTTTGAAAAAAAAATTGTAACGTCCCTTTTTGACATGATTTATGTGTCTTCTTGATTCTTTTATTACGTTTTAATATTGTTCGTCGATTTTTTATTTTAATTTTTTTTTAAACAAAATATAAGAGATATGAGGCATTGAATGTTAATGAAAATGATAATAGTCTCGATCACTGAAGGATTTGTCATTGATTGATACAAGATATGTACAATAAAGCGTATTTTACACAATTTGTTTATTTTGTCTCTTATTAGTCGAACAAGTCCTACAAAACAACGATTAATAAATTCATCGGCACAAAATCTTGAAACAGAATATATTAAACAATTACAAGAACAAATCTACTATTTGGAAACAGAATGCCACTATCTATATCCTTTTTTAATTAAATTTCTTTTTTTTGCTTGATTTTTTTTCATTGTTAGGAAATAAGAAATGTTTTTATTTTTCCTTAACTATCAGTGCACGCGTGATCAATTAAATAAGAATTCAATAATACTAGATCGATCATTAAAAGATGATCGTGTACATCAAATAGAACAAGAACGTTCTAAGTTACAACGAAGTCTTGTTGAAACATCATCTCAATTTGATCAATTAGAAAGTGAAAAATATGGTTTAACAATAGCATTAGATGAACTTCGTCGTAAGAATAAATCATATATCTTTAATTAATAGTTAACTTTTTTTTTTTTTATTATTTCTTCATCTTAGAAAAATTCGATATTGAAAAACAAAATTTACTTGAAGAATTAGATATGTTACGACGAGCAAGAGAAACATTTGAACAAGAAAAAATGTTGCGTGATCAAGAATTACGACAAATTCGTGATCGATCACGTGCTTCATCTGATGAATTAAAAAATTCTCAAACAAAAATTCGTGTACTTGAACAACAGGTTTGTTTTTTTTTCTTAATATTTGAAAATCTTTATCTCTAAATTATTACTTTTAAGCTTGAACAACAATTAAATCAAAATAAAGATTTAACTGATGAACTTCATCGTTTAAAACTCGAATCAAATAATTTACAACGTAGCCTTAATGATTATCAATTAACTAGTCGAGAAAAAGATCGTTTACAGGATCATGCTGCCCAATTAGAGGTTTATATCTTACAATTTTTGTATTATCTAATTTAGATTATTTTTTCTCTTTATTTTAGAAAGAACTTAATACTCTTCGACAAGAACTTAAATCACATGATGCTCGTTATAATGAAGCTCAATTTCTTCGTAATAAAGTAAATAAAAATTTTTTCCTCTTGTCAGTTTTTTTTTCATATGAGCTATTTATTTATTTTCTAGTTAGCTGATGAAAAAAGTGCTTTAATGAAAGAAGTATCACGATTAGAAAATTTAACCAAACAATTTGAAAGAGACTTAGAACAAGTAAAACATTGAAAAATATTTCTTATTAATTAATATTGAATTTTTTCTTTTTAGCTTCGTCATACATTACGAGAACGTACTGATGCATTACAATTAAAAGATAGAGATATAGCTGCTTTACGGAAAAAAGAACAGAGTTTTCATAGTATAGTTGAAAGTATTCAAAATAAATTGGATACAGAAGCAATGAGAAATAAAGATCTTGATGGACAAGTATGAATAATAATAATAATAATATTTATTAAGAAATCTACTTTTTTTACATTTCTAGCATAAACAATTACAAAGACAATTAAATATTGAAATTCAAAATGCATCAACTGCTAAACGTGAATTAAATGAATATGAATTACGTAATGTACGTTTACAAGATGAAATAAATGCTCTTCAACGTGACAAAGATCATTTAGCAAGTCATATTAGTACATTACAACAACAAGTAAAATTTTATTTTATTTTATTTTATTTTTTGTAATAAAACCAACTAAAAGGAGTGTTGAGATACATAGGGTAGAAATTTGCAACCTCTCACAGACCATTATAAACACGTAAGAAACGACTCATCACAGACATGATAGACATTTTAGCAATGTCTCGCTATGTACATCACAGATTGTGACAATACGCTGTTGATATATGGCCATAGAATGTATATCAATAACGTCTCATTATTATATATAAACTACTTCCTTCGAGGAGGAAACAGTAGACATCATGGGACTTCAACAGGATCCTGGAAGTTGCGCACAGATTAAAAAGATTCATATTTATACTTTGATTGACATGAAGGTGCTTCATAGTATAGGTGTGGGTCATTGTTTCAGCTGCACTAGAGCCCATCGGATCCAAGAATTTCTGTACCTAGACCCAATGAGCTATAGCCTGCATCCACACCCTCTTTATATTTTTATTGTGTTTCTGGATGTAAACATGCATTTCATTCTCTCGTGTGCATCTTTCGTAGACCTTGCTTCGACATATATTAAAAGCTAGAGCTCAAAGACTTCTTAAGATTTCATGAGACTTCAATCTTGAAGTCTTTGCTGCTTTCTCTTCGATGTCCTTATTGTATTTCTGAAGGATTAAGTAAACAGATGATGAAGAAATGTATCCTAAAATAGATAGAATAAAACAATCTTCCTATGAATATCAACAGAAGTTACATTATGTTTCAAATTTTAAACCCACAGTGATTACGCTAATAAATTTTTCCTTTTACTAGAAAAATTTTCTTATTTACTTAAATATTGTTTTTTTTTTTTTGAAAATATTTAGCTTGCTCAGGAGGAAGATATAGCAAATAGTTTACGAATAGAAATTCAAGAACTTGAAGATCGTGTTAAGGAAATTGATCGTCTTAAATCACTTGAAGATTTAATACAATCTCAACGCTGGGATGATATATCACAAATGGCTCAAACAATGCAAACAGTTAGCCGAACTATGGCACGTGCTACAAGTCCAACACCAATACGAAAACGTGTTGAATTACAATAAAATCTAAAGATACTTCTTTTTTCAAGGAGACATTTTGGTTTTAGCTTTTTTTTTGAAGGGTGTTTTTTTGATTCAGCTTTTCCAACTATTGTGTGTGTGAACAAGAATATTTTTAGTTTTAGTCTACCGCTTATATATCTTTTCTATATGAAAAAAATCAATTTGGTATAGCTTTGAAGTCAAATAACGTATAAGTCTAATTCAATACGGGTTAATAATAAATTACGTTGTTGCATTTGTCGATAAATTTCAGAATTAAATAATGGTAATACACGATGAGCTTCATTATATGTTCTTTCGATATTATTTCCTCGTTTTTCATCAGAAAGTAAATCATATTCACCATCAAGTTTATCATTGAAATTTGTTCCACGTGCACTTTCATTTGATGCATATTCATTATATTCAAGATATTCTGATGGAGCAGTTTTTTTAAGCCAATTATGAATACGTTTCATTTTATATTGTTGATTAAGTGGTGGATGAGGTTGTTCACGGAGTAATGCACTACTTAATGGTTTAGAATAAGCTGGAACTAGAAGAAAAAAAAAACAAATTTTTAATAATGATATTTTAATAAAAATAATTTTATAGTTCATGAATATCTATCTTATTTATTCAAAGAGATGATTATCAATGAGTATCTTTCATTCAAGTTCATATTTAGCTGAAACTATGAGTTTATAATATAAATAAAAGTTCTAAAAGAATTTGTCTTGAATATATTAAGATTTTTTGCGATTGATATCAATACAATACTTGACAACGTTCTTTAGACGATTTTTTTATAGAGAGTCTTGTTTGTTATAAAATACGCACATTACATTATAGATAATTTACTTTTTAAAAAGTTTTAATTACCAAAATGTAGCTCGTGTTCTCCTCTTTTCATTTATATAGACTCAGGATTTTTTAGAACAACTTTGAAAAAAAATCCAGTTTAAAAAATTTCCTCCAACAAAAGTTGACTACCTCAAGATTGTTATATGTCCAATTCTACTATAACTTAACATTTACGAGCAAAATATTGTTTGGATATAGTATAGACACCAATTATACTTCTGATACAAACCGTCATTCAAAAAATCAATTCGTTCAAAAAAGCTTGTGAACGTAGCCAGCCATTTTGAAGCTGAAATGTGAAACTTACATGTATTCTTTAGTCTTATTATACTAATACAAGATACGTTAAGTGAAAAATCTCTAGCAGACTATAATTGTTTTCGAAGGATAATCGATTATTTTTTTCGTATTCCATTTCTCTTAATTTAACATTAATATTATTATTCTAATTATTGGCAAATAAGTCTGTTGTACATATTCATTATATCTACAGCAGGTTCGTAACGCACTATTATATATTTTGATACGGTTATTAACACTACTACTGATTACTTTCTAAATTTATAATTTGATCAGTTCATGTATTCTTATGTTAATCTATATGACAACTGTGACAAATTAATGTATGATTACCAATTATATCCTTGACATCTTAAATATAAATTTTAAAAAGACAACAAATACTTTCTGTCACATATGCAGCCTAAATAAAACATTCATAACTTATAATACTAAGATATGTGAAATCATATGAAAAAGAAAATATACTTGCCTCTATTACTCTGAATATCTTGACGCATTTGTTTAGCAAGCATTGCTGAGAGCTGTAAAGGATCATTCGAACCAACTGCTAGTTTACATGATCGAGCAGATTCCGATTGTCTAGGACTACTATTACTATTAGTTCGTGTACGTGAAGTACGATTTATTGAAGACATTGTCGAAGGTCGTATTTGTGATTTAGTTGTAAAAGGACGTATATAAGGTAAATTAGACATATTTTCATTAGCTGATTGTTGTCGTGCAAGTTTTAATTGTTCAGCTTTTGTTGTTCGAACAGGAATACGAGCTGATCGACGTTGAATTGGTTTTGGTTTTGTTCTTGATTCTTGAACTTGTCTAATATACTGAGAAAATGATGGTGGACGAATTGAACGTGGATTATATTCATCATTTTGTTGTCGATATGATGATTTACTTTCATCAAATAACTCATTAACAGATTCATCAATATCAGCGTCTACTAAATTACTAATAGTACATGGTATTCCATTTAAATGTTTATTAAAAATATATGGATCAAGGTTAACATGCTTTGCTTTATATTCTTCCGATTCATTAAGTAGAGAAGAAACACTTTCTTTAGAACTTGATGAATCACTATCACGTGAATGTTGATCATCATCGATCTCATTGTCATCATGAATACTTTTCGATGAACTTGAAACAGATAAAAGTGATATATTTGTTGGAATAGAAATATCACTATCCCATCGTTTTGTGCTTCGATCTAATTAAAAGATTTTTACAAAAAAAAAACAAACTTTATTGTAGTTTACCTTTGAGTATGGGTGCAAATGGTTTGATTGTTGTTTGTCGATGGTATTCTTGTAACATTCTTTCAACACACATACAAATCAATCATAAATATAATATAAGAACAATATGAAAACACATAACAACCCTTTTTTTTTGTTTCTTGATTAAGAAAAAAAAATAATATGGAGAAAGAAAAAGAGATTCTGTCTCATTTGATTATTTTTTTTTTCTTTCTTCCTAACTACCAAGCCAATACAATATTGTTATAAGTACACCAATTTTGATCCATTGTTTAAACATTGCCATAAGTGTTGAAATTGTTGAAATAGCTATTAATAAACCAACAATTGTAACCAAAGAATTGCTTTTTAAAAGCCAATAGAAATAATTAATAAATACACGATATGTTGAATTATTAAATAAAACATTTGTTAAATGAAGTTTTTCAATAAATAATCCACCAATAAAAATAATTATTGCATTTATATATTCGTGATATTTAATTAAAATATAAATGAAAATAATTATAAATAACCAAAATATGAGATGAACGAATATCATTGAGAATAGAAAATGTAACGCGCTTAGTTCTTTTCTTTTGTTTATTCAAAATTTTATTGATTAATTATCAAAAAAAAATTATTAGTCGAAAAGAAAAACACATGAGTAGAAAATTTACAAAAATATTCTTTTTAATTTTATCAGACTAAAGTTCTTTTTCAAGAAAATTCATTTATAAACCAATCAGGAAGAAATTGATATTGTTCGTCATTTGAGATACACCATTTGATTTTTTTTAATTTTGGAGAATAATAGAATAGATATACATTTCTAGAAAATAAATTTATATTTAATGCAAAGGAAAAAAACATTGTTTCAAGTGCCGATAATTCAAACTTCAAGAAACAAATACAAATCCGAAATCAGCACAAAAAACCTGAGTCACATAAAGTATCTTTCAAATGAATTTTGTTGTCAAATTGACTAGAAAGATACTTCATGTGACTCAGTTTTCTTGTGCTGATTTCGAATTTGTATATGTTTTTCTGACAAAAGCCTGATTTGAATTCGAAAATCATTGAATGTCGGCTAAAAACGCTATAGTACACAAGTTTCTCAACAAGAAAACAAAATAAAAAGAAAAGCCATCTGTAATTTTCTGACTGGTGTTATGATGAATCGAACGCGATGTAATACTTAACCTCCTCGTTTAACCAAAAATACTAAATAGATTTACAAAAACGACCTACAAGGATTGCAATAGACACAGACTCTAAAAGTAGTATCTGACAAGCAGAGCGAAGCAGAAAATTTCGCACATTTTGAAAGAAATTTGTTTTCAAGAAATAACGACAATTTCCAAGTTTTGTAATCAATAGCTCATGCTCTATCAAAATATGTGTAAAAAAGATGAAAAATAAAATTTTACTTGAAGTTCAAATAGTTAACACCTTACCTATCTTCATATGACCAATCTTTTGTAATTGTTCGTCGAACAAATGAACAGAATTCATCAAGAAATGATATAAATGCACTAGCACTCCATGTTTTCTAAGATAGATAATTTTTATTAATTATCTTATAGAATGCAAATATTTACTGCTCGTATTTCAATATCTTTTACACCAAGTGGTTGTAAACATTCAACAATACCATAATCATTTCGGAAACCAAGTAACATATGATTAATACCAGCTAAAAAACATTGTTGCCACCTAAAATATCTTATGTACTATTTAATAATAACTTAAATTTCTTCTTTACCATTTTGCATATTTTCGAGAACTAAAAATAAAAAAATAGAGAAGAAAAATATTTAGTAAAAGGAAGTCAACTAATAGATTCTTAAATTCAAATATCATATTAAACAAAATTTTATCAGATACCTAGGTTATTAAGAATACTATCTTAGTCAATTTTGTATTCCAATTGAGTCGTATCAAATTCAAAATATAAAACTACAAAACATGCTATTTACTTTTGCATGACAGACTTTAAAACTTGTGAATTTTTCAAAGCTGTTTATGAAATAGTAAATTTTTTACTAATGCCAATTTTTATAGAAACTAACTCTTTAGTGAAAATGCATAGATGAGATTTCTTTCAGAATTCAATTCTACAGAATAATGTTGAATTGAATCTGTTCGACGACACAAATAAAGGACTGCGCCAAAACTACCATTATTATTCCTTCGTTATTATATGAAGAAATTTAAGAGTAAAAATCCACACAAAAATTTTTCATAGTTTTTTTTTTAATTGTCTGTGAAATCTACTTACGAAGCAGTATTTAAATCTAATAAATGTTTAGCATAAGCAATTTTAACTTCAACATAAGTGCCTTGTTTTTTTTCTTTATTATATGTTGAATTTAATGTACATGCATCTATTTCACAACTATATAAAAGTATATGACGACCAATTGTTGCTTTATTCATTGTAGAAAACATTTTTTTTGGTGATGGAATTAATGGTGGATTATTTGATGTAACATAATCTTCAAATTTATGACCCCAATATTGCATACGTTTTTCAATAGGTGTTTGTTCATTTTCAATTTTTAATTCAGTTTCTGTATGAAAAACTGTCATAAAATGACAACCATTCCAACGTATAATTCCTATACGCCAATCGAGAACTGAATCAAATAATGATGACATTATTTTACGTAATGTTCCACGCCATGATAAAAAATCGAAAGTAAATCTAAAGTTTATCATAATTTAATAAAGAACCTAAATACAGGGTGTATCAGAAGTTCGAATGGAAAAAACCGAATGTCAATAGTTCCTCGGGAATTGAAGGAATTTAAATATCTTTTTTTTTACAGCTTGATTAGTGTCTTTGTCTATAGAAGTCAGAATTAAAATAGTTTTACTGATGGTCGAATTCGACTAAAACCTGCCAACTAAGCATTGCACTACAAACACATTCCAGCAATTTTGTGAAACCAATACTTCGAAAATCAATGACGTTATGGAAGATCTACAGCAATCATCGAAGAAAAAGTCAATGAAGCTAAGGATGCTTGTGAAAATGAGCCAGGATCAATTATTCGGTCTATTTCACAAACTCGCTCATTACCATAAAGAACAAATTATGACGGCACATCTCTTATGAAAGCCATACAAGATACGATTTGTTCAACAATTCTACGAAATAGATCGAACACTTGATCCTGGTTCATTTTTACAAGCATTATCAATTTCTTCGACCTTTTCTTCAATAATTACTCGATGGTCTTCCAGAACTAGAGCCCATCTGGTCAAGAACTTTTGGATCCGGGCCCGATCAAACCATACTTTGATACTCTCAATGAAATTTTCTAATCGACATTAGACACTCACCCCAAAAGATACGAGATACTTCTTCTCCGGTTTTTGTGTTTAGTGATTAGTGTACCCTCTGCATTTCTCAGACTATCGGGTCCGAAACTAACTTTAGGATGTCCTTGATTTTCGACAATGCTCGTTTGACAAAATCGTCGAAATGTGTTGCCAATGAAATATTCAATTAGCTTGTTTTTTTCAAACTTAATTTCTAGTTACCGTTTTACAATGCTGACTTATTTTGAATTTGATCATGAGTAAAACATTTTTAGTTCTGACTTCTTTTAGGTGCAAATATTTTATCTGAAATATATTAAATAAAACTTTAATGAATATGTAATCAAACTATGAAAAAAAAATATTTAAATTCTTTGAATTGCTGAGGAACTATTCACATTTGTTTGTTTTTTTCGTTCGAACTTTTGTAACATTGTGTATATAAGATCATTACTTGTTATTAATAAATAATTCACTTTTATGTCGAAGAATCCACCACATCATTGAATCAAGTGAAGCTGGTGGTTCCTAATAAAAATAAAATAAAGAACCTAAACTTAATAGAAAATAGTTTATAACAAATATAAAAAATACCCACTTTTACATCAAGATATTCAGCACCAATATTAAGATCAAAATGAACTTTTTTTTGTTCAAGTGGATAAATTAATTTTTCTAAATATCGATAATCTTCTCGACATCGTGTTCGATCAGCACGATCAGCAGTTGAAAAAAATCCAATTTCTTTTTGAGAAAATGATACACGCATTGTATGATATCGACGCCAATAATCAACAATGATTTCACTTGGTGAACAATATGATTCAGGAAATTGTAAACATGGTAAAAGAACTAATGTTAATTGTTGTTTATCATCACGTTTAAGTGGTAATTCAACTGGTGGACAAACTATTGATAAATTATGATGTTCTTTTTTTCTACTAACATTTTTCATATCTTTATTATTTTTAGCTAAAATTTTCGAAGTATGATTTTGTTCTTCAGGAAATTTTTCTACATTTTCTTCGTCATCATCACTTGATAAAGGAACAGATGGTGGTACAAGTTCAGGATATGATTCACATGAATGTACACTTGTTGATATTTCACATGAAATTAATTTAGGACTAGATATACGTGGTGATGGAACTTCTACACAAAAACCTTTTGGTCGACCACGACCAGTACAATCATCTAATGAATAGAAATAAAATATTCAAAAAAAAACAAAATTTTTTTAAAATTTTTAAACAACTTACAGAAAGATGTTGATTGCCAATATTGTGGAGATTCACACATAATTACTTGTATAACAGTAGAAATTTAACAAAATTTTAATTTATGGGTAAGATAACTATGTCTTGAGAAATATCATTGGTTTGTATTCATGGACAAATAAAGATACGTTGAAATAGTGTCGCTTGTTTATGTACAAATAAAACTTGTGTCAATTAAATAACGAAAAGTTTCTCGATTTTTATCAAAGCTTTTCCTTTAAAATTCTTTGGCAAACTATCTATTAAAATATTTCACTCAGGACTGAGTGAGTCATGCTATTTTTTCATTTTCTATTCATTTTTATAAAGAACATTAACAGCAAGTTTTTCCTTAAACGATATTTAGTTCCTAGTTTTTATACGCAAGAAAAGAAAAGTAACACATAAAATAAAATGACATAATCAGTTGAAGTTTATCCACAAAATAAGAATAATAAAATCAACTCTTTTTTTATACACTTCCACTAGTTAAATT